GTCCAATTTATGACGTTATCTGATGATTGACTTCCGGTCAGGTATCAATACGTGGAAAATACCAGGATTGGGTGCTAAAAAGATACAAGTATTTTGTTGACTAGTGGTACTAACGGTGCGTACTAGTTGCAAAGAAATTGGTAAATAATAATTGATTTAACTGCAGGTTTTGGATGACCTTCTGCATGATATACACGTTAAAGCGCGGAAACGAATGTGTATATGTAAAATACTTGCTACATAGCACGGCAATTCAATTAAAGGAGAGGTTTAGGTTAAAATTCAACCCATCCACTGCCATATGTAACAAATAGGTGCCCACTACTACATATCGAAATAAACGATTGACAAACTGGTTAAGCCATCATGTGTCACGTGTATGAACAAATATCTATGTATCTGTAAGCATATATAGATACCGGCAAGTGTTATGAATAGTGACAGCTGAATATTTCGCTTTGAAAATTTAATTTAAATCTTTTGTGAGCATTTCTAGGAATATTTGTTTCTATTGTACAGCTTTTCAAATTTCAGTTTCATATTAATATTGAATTTCTTTAGAAAACAGTTCTTTTAGTTTCAGCACAAGGTTACTTATCAATGTCACTTTAAGCTTCCAACTTACATATATACCGTTATAATATATGCATTTATTTACTTAATAGTGATTTGAACCTGTTCATTGTGGTGTTGCATGGAAAGTTTCTTTCGAAAGCAATTCAAAGTTTTTAAATTGGCTATTGGTTTTTCACAAAACTGCAAAGTTATTGTTAAATTTCAATAAACCGCTTTATAAATATTTTTTTTTTTTACATTTTACACACTCATTGATTTTTCCGATAGGTCTACAATTTTTGACACTGTTGCAGACAGAAACCGTTGATAGCCAGTCTTTTTGATATTATTATCACTTTTCTGCACTAAAAAGCTTACATTTAAGATAGCAAAACACTTTTACTGCAAGCTAAAAGTGCATTTAATTGCCTCCAGGAAAAGAAATTGCTCTTATTTTAAGTGTTACATAAACTTCATAGTATCAATATAAGGATTTGGCTGTTTGTATTTCAGAACCACTGGAATGAAAGCGAGCTTTAAAGACTGATCAAATCATTCTAAAAAACTATAACTATAATGCGTTTATATGAAGAAAAGTACTTTTTAAAATTGATAAATATATACAAATAGAAGATTTTACAATAAGAGTGATATGATTTTTTTCAAAAAAGAAACACACTAATTGTTAAGGAAAGGTAAGGAAAGGAAAGGTTAAGCAAATGTTTTTTATTCAGTGTGAAGTAAAATCGATACAATTAAGTTTTGAATATAACATTATTCAAATAACCTCCACGACTTGAGTACTTTTTCCACTAAATCTAGTCGTATGTCATGAATAACACGTTCAATATTGACTTGTAAAGCTTGCAGAGGGTCTGGTTTATTGAAAAGGCCAACGACTTTAAATAACCCCAAAAGACGTAGTCTAATGGTGTTACATCACAACTTCTTGGTGTCATTCAATGTCAAAATTCCTTGAAACTATTAAATCTTCAAAACTTTTCTCGCAATAATTCGATTGTCAGATATTGAAAAGGTCAACTTCTTCCAATTGCGGCCATAAAAAGTTGTTATCAACGAACTGTACCGCTTTTCAGTAGTGTCAGAAGTTTCTGACAGTAACTCTGTCACCAGCTTCATTTCGAGAGAAGTACGGACCAATGATTTTACTAGACCAAAAACCACACCAAACTGTCAATTTAGGTGAATGTAATGGTTGTTCATGACTGATTTGATATTTACCGCACCGAAATTGAATTGATTAGCTTTTCATGATGTAATTGTAAACACTACTGAATAGAATTAAACAATTACAGATTATGACAAATTAAAAATGGCCGACACTTAGAAATCATAGCATCCCTAATGGAAAATATAATATATATATTTATATATTTATATATATATAGTATATGAAAACGCAAAATGAAAAGAACGTGAAAACTTGTTGTTTATCAGCTTACCCTTCGGCGAGTTTCGTAATCCAATGCACCGGCCACATAAATGGCTCCAGTCATATTTTTCACAGCAAAAGCTCCACCAATGTTTCCACTCGTAATTTCATAACGTATACGCGATGCTGCACACATTTCAAAAGCCAATGACCATCAGTGACAGATGTAATAACAAAAGTGTCGGTGAAAGTTGTTGTAATTGTTGACAATGTTGACATTTTTAATTTCATTTGAAAAATTATATATAAACATATGTATGTCGAATACAATGTGAGATCCATTTCAAGCGGTAAACGACATTCCACGAATCATTCCGTCATTCCGTTATGTTATTGGTGGCATTTAGAAACGAACAGCAGGCAACGCAACGCATACAAAGAAGCAGAAAAGATAAAATACATTTTTATAGACATATTTATTTAATGGTTTGTAGTTGATGCACAAGAAATATAATATAAGTATATGTAACCACTTGAGTGGGTATGTGCTTACATTCGTCGTGATCTTTAGCTGTAACGGTCAGCACAGTGTGTTGGATATCTTCGTTCTCATCCACCTCTGCTTCGTAGAGCGACTTGTCGAAATAGGGCGGGTTGTCGTTCTTATCGGCGATGCCAATGCGTATAAATTTCGTCACTATTAGTAAAAAGGGTAATAGAGAATAAGAATATATTCTTGTCTGTGCTCAATCATAATTTTAATATGCAAGTGTGATTATATTCCTTCGTCACTGGTGTAAATACTTGGCTGATTGTAGTACTTTTTATAGCACATAGGAAAACTGATTATAAAAATTACATATTAATATAATTCCTAATAATTAGCTAATAATATTTTGTTTATATCAAAAAAAAACGAAAAAGCGTTAACTTCGACTGCACCGAAGCTATAATACCCTTCACAGGTGCTAAGATATGCATATATTATATAAATATATTAAAGATATAAAAAGATCTTGATATTATGTGGCAGCTATATCTCATTACATATTAGTCCGATCTGTAAAATTCTTTCGGATATTGTACCGTTGCATGGGAAAATTATTAAAATAGTTTTTCATACAAGAACTTAATTTTGATGGTTCAGTTTGTATGGCAGCTACTTATATGCTATAGCAATCCGATATGAACAATTTCTTAAAATAGTATACTGTTGCTTCGTAGAAAACCTTATACCAAATTTCGTGAAGATATCTTGCCTTGAGATTGATCGCTCAGTTTGTATGACAATTGTACACAATAGTGGTCTGAACCAATGGGGAGCTTTTCTGAGATAAAAGATCGATTTCAAAAAACTGAGGAACAAGTTCGCATATATACAGATAGACAGACGGACGAACGTATGTGGCTAAGTCGACTCAGTTCATCACGATAATCATGTATGTATATACTTAATAGGGTCTCCAACGTTCCCTTCTGGTTCTAACAAACTTCGTTGTAAACTTAATATATTTATACATTATATGTAACATGTACACAACCGGAAATAATGGGAAAAAGTCGGTTAGGCGAAACGCCTAAAATTATGCAATTAACACGTAATTCCCATAAACAGCCTGCACGATTACTAGCAACACAATGTGACACGCAGTTAGCTTGTACTCACTTTTGGCACTAATCTAAAAACAGTCCCAGCAAATGAAGAGGCACTATCATATTACGAGCATGTGCCACGCATTGAGCATGTGTACTTTTTATTAACTTTTCTGGTATATGAATTTCCGCTAGTGCGTTTATATTTGAGATGTCACGTATATTAAATAAAAGATAAATAAATACATTTAGGAATAGTACGAGTGCTACAGTGGGAAACCACTTCAAATAAATGCTAAATGCAAATAATTTTAGATGCATATGTTGTTGGATTTTACAACTTTATGTATGCTATATAAAAAAAAAATTATAAGGAATTAAAATCAGCAGATTTTTTTGTTTTTGCGTGAATACAACACAATGTAAGGGGAATTTCACTTGAAGTTGTCCTTCCAAACAAGCCGATTATTTGTTGAGTTTTCTACGTATTAGTAAATCATAGAGGCAACTTTTCGACTTTAACAGGTCAAAATATGTAAATCTATAACTCATTCACAAAATAATTTTACTGAATTTCATGCATGGATACATATGTATTTATGTAGTATGAGTATTTACCATAAAACATTTCATATTTATTGGGTTTAGGAATACATATACATTTGAAAATATGTTGATATTGTTTCTTCTTGTTGCTCACGTAATATTTTAAAAGCCAAAATGTATTTTAAATCAAAGTAAACTGCTTCCTTTGCCCCTACTGGACATTGAATTTTGCTGAGAATGACAAAAGTTATGTGAAATTAATAAAGAAAACTAGGTGTGTACAATACTAACCAAGCAGTGTGCACAAATACACTGCTGGCAATAAAAAAATAAACATATTCAACAAAAATTTCCCTAACTGAAACGAAAATTTCATGAGTGTTTGGAATAAAATTGAGTTATAAAAGTTGGGACAGCAAATGTGTGCGGTTCCTTTTTCTAATGCCTGATATTTCTGTACAGGCAGCATCTATGTATAGATTATTTACAGATGGTTTAATCACGAGTACAATTTGAATCAAATTCCTATGTATTTATGTTTGTATATATAAAGGATTTTTAACAAGTTAAAGTCTTAACAAGGGCAATGATATTATATTTTATTGGAAAAACAATCATATATTTCAAAGTAGTATAATGCAGATGTTTCATGTAGTGAAAATATGATACACAAAGGCTGTCTAAAGTATTCCGTTAAAATTTCTTGGAAAAAAAAATTTTTTTAAACTAATAATCTGAAGACGAAGCATTACATACACGCATATATGCATGGCTGTATGTGTACATGGTTTGGACATTCCATAATTTGGACACAAAAAGTAAAAATAGAAGATTTCCGTTCTTGCGTAGTCTTTACTGAAGTGGTTTACAGTATAGTGAATATATTATTTGTGGATGATGATGGTTTGGATCTCAAGCATAGGACAAGACTACAGATGATTGTTTCAATGTTTCAGAAAATATAAAAATGAGTATCCCCTGCATTGTTGGTTATTACTGTGTGGTCGAGTCGAAAGCGAAACAGTGCGTTCAAAACTGTAATCAAACCCCTACATTGAAAAACATATTTTGAACAAGTAAGGAAGGGCTAAGTTCGGATGTAACCGAACATTTTATACTCTCGCAAAGTCATACAGTATACTCGTTTGAGACTTCATTATATATTTTGCTTGATTTGCATAGTCGAAAGTGAAAGAATCAGATGGAATTTAAGATGGTGTTATATGGGAAACAGGCGTGGTTGTAATCCGATTTCGGCCATTTTCGCGCTATAATATAGAAACATGCGAGGAATATTAGGTACCGAATTTGGTTGCAATCGGTTAAGCAGATCCCAAGATATGGGCTTTCACCTAAAAGTGGTGGTGCCACGCCCACTATCAAATTTTGAACGTGATTCCTACAAAGTCATCTCATACCATCCCAGAGATAAAATTTAATATCTTTGGCGTGTTTAGTGCTTGATTTATCGCGCTTTTAGTAGTACCGTTATATGGGGAGTGGGCGTTCTTTCACCCGATTTCATCCATTTTCACACGGTCGATAGAAGTGCTAAAAGACATTTGTTTCCAGTGAACTTTGTTATTATAGCTTTAGCGGTTTGGGAGATATGAGCATTAGACCTATTAGGGGGCGAGTCTACGCCCCTTTTTAAAAAAAATTTAAACTGCGGATACCCTCCCTAATGTGATCCTGTATAATAAAAAACAGTCTTATCTCTTGTGTTCGAGCTTAGTTGTGGCAATTTATTTGTTTTGAATTAATGGCGTTTTGTAGGCGTGGCAGTGGATCGATTACGCCTATCTGCAATGCCAACCGTCTTACAGTATCAAGAAACATGTCTACCAAGTTTCAGGAATATATCTCGATTTTTACTCAAGTTGCAGCGCACGTACGGACGGACAGTCACCCGGATGTCAACTCGCCTCTTTATTCTGATTATTTATCAAATCTGATTGTAGCAATGTAATATTTAAAACTTGTGTATTTTCAACCCCTTGAAAGGTGTTCGGCTAAGAAACGAACAAACATTTATTCAAAGGAGTGTTTAGCACCCTCAAAAGGTGCATTGAGGTGCTTCACAGTAAACCTATGCGGAAAATTTAGTTGCAAGTTGACATTAAAGATGCCAGGCTATAATCGTCAACCCGGGAGATTATTATTGCAGGAGAGCAATATTGAGTAAACGTCAGTTATAACAAAACAATATGTTTTCTATAATAACAAAATTTTTTTTTAATAAACGCTCCCTACACTTTGGAAAAGGAAAACGTTATTTTTTGAACGCGCTGTATATGGCATAGGCTTGAAATGTCCAGGTTTTATAAGAGAGTAGTTATTATAGTCGGTTCAGTTTGATTGTTGTTTTACATTCATTTGTTTGTTTTTATCGATAGATATCCTTTTTGAAAAGAAAATCAAAGCATTGAAGCAGATTGGAATCAGGTTACCATTAAATGACTTCTTTGATAGTTACAAATTAACTTCATGTTTTATAAAAACTTATTTTTAAAGGAAAATCAGAAACATTTCTTTATGAATACCATTTACTAAAAGTATATACCTTCACTTTCTACCTGTCTCGTATATACTATATCCCCAAGCTGTAGTCATTTACATATCCTTGGGTGTAAAAGAATTTACTGCAACTTGCAAATGACAGTTGCCACAAACCAACATGCAGCCAGACAGGCAAACAGGCCAGCATGCAAAGCAAGTATTTGAATTATGAGCCTTGCAATATATTCTCCGTATTGTCGTGATTGGTTTGTTTCAGTTAGCCGCCCAGTGGAACGATACAGACCAGCTCAGTGAATGGGCGCTACGACAACGTTGCCTTGCATATATTTCATATTTACACACAACAGGCTTGAATAAATTTCTGTGCTTTTGACTTGTTTATTATTTTCGGAATTATTAAAACATCATCAGGCACTGCAGTAGACAAGCAACACGGTGTTGGCGTCGATGCGCCTGCGCATGCTAAATTTTAAGTTTAAGTGGCAGAATGCTGCAATTGTTGCGCCATTAAGAGAAGCAAACAGCCATCAAATTGGCAGTTTCTTGAATTTTGGTGCGAGTATGCTTTTACGCTTTAATATAAAGAAACACAAAATTTACTGCACTTACGTTTACACATACGCACATACAAGTATATCTGCAAATCTATATTCAAGTCGATTTTCATAGTGCTAATAGTATTGCTGTGCACAGTTTGTTTTCACTGTAGTTTTGTCTTTACTAAAATGTACTTAAGGTTTAAATAGTTTACAAGTGAGAGCGCAAACATACTCGTATGTCGTATGTGTACATAGAGACAACCTGTTTGCGTTGACCAAACAGATCTGGTTCTACAAGTTATGAGAAGCCATATGAAGGTGGAGCTTTGGGTTACAACTGATGGAAGCTCAAACTTGCTGTAATTTGACCTCTTTCAAAATTACTATTGTGTATTTGAAAGGTGTTCCAGTAAAAATAATGTCATCATAAGCAGCATTATTTAGGAACACATTTTATGTGCCTATACTCATTTATGCATAATGTTCTAAAAGCGTATCT